ATATATTGGAATCATTACATGTAATCATCACATGACTATTGTAATCATGCTATTTATGTGATATAAATGATAAGTTCTATTAGGAACCTGTTAAAATGTATAATAAAAAAATAAAATAAAAATGAATGTAAAGTGAGTAAAGCTGATACGACTGTATGCAGTTCATATGAATGTACAGGTTCTTGTGAAAGCCTTGTGAATTAGGATCAATCAGAATCGATCCTAAAACACTCAGTTGATAAACTATCAATCACCCTCAGATTCACGTTCAGATCCAAAATGTTAAAATAAATAACATTTGGAGCCAAATTCACAAAGAGCTTTTGTTGTAGAGCAGCAGAGAAAGGCCTTAGATAATAATGTCAGTTTACTCACATGTGTTGGAGACAAGCTGACAGGTTCGCTGTCTGAATCAGTTCTCAGACTGGTCATTCAATTTTCTGATAAAGGGACTAGTAGGAGCTACAAAATGGCAGAGCTTTCAAACATGAACATACTAAATTCACATGGATAATGCTTAATGATTGCTTCATAGTGCATCCTTTCTGCTATGTTTTACAAAATGACATCTTTTTTTGTTTTATTTGCGATTTATTTTCATTAGTGGTCATACATTTTGCAGCTTTTGTTATTTGTATTTTATTAAATGAATGTAGATTTTACATAAGATTTGTCATTGCCAACGATGGACACTAGGGGGCGCTGTAAGTTTTGTTATCTGCCAGTCAGTCAGTTTGTATACTTGATCAGATTCCAATTCCAGTCACAAGTGCCTGTCTGGTTATCTATGGAGCTAGCAGCTTTTAATTTTTTTTATTTTGTGAAGAAATCCGTATGTGGTGTTCGTTTTCATTTAACAAGCTGTGGGCTAAAAGGCAACACGGCAACTTAGGTTTATACAACAGAACATACTTTTTTTTTTCTTGCAGTTTTTCTTCACTTATCAATGCTGAAGATAAAAAAAAACCAAAACATAACTTTGCATGGGTAAAATTACATTCACGTACATATTGCTACCCGGATTTAAGGTAGTCACTTGCAGGATCCTCTAATGTTTGGCTCTTATTTTCTTACCTACTTAATAGATATGACTCATATCCCCATCTCTCAATAGTTTACAGGTTTAAAATGTTTTTGGTGCTGCTAATTCACGGTTAGATAACAGTGCATGTAAAAATATGTAAAAAATTGAAGGCAACCAAAGATAGGCAGAATTTGCCATTCAATAATCCCATGTTGGGTGCACTCATCTTTTTAGAACGTTGGCATCCACATTGAAGATTCCTAAACAACTAAAATAGTGTTGGGAGAGAACAAAAATACGAAATTCACCTTCTTGTGTTGAGAAAGCACCAGCAGTTGTGTAAAGTGTCCAGTGTGGTTTTATATATATATACAGTTGCAAGAAAAAGTATGTGAACCCTTTGGAATGATATGGATTTCTGCACAAATTGGTCATAAAATGTGATCTGATCATCATCTAAGTCACAACAATAGACAATCACAGTTTGCTTAAACTAATAACACACAAAGAATGAAATGTTGCCATGTTTTTATTGAACACACCATGTAAACATTCACAGTGCAGGTGTAAAAAGTATGTGAACCCCTAGACTAATGACATCTCCAAGAGCTAATTGGAGTGAGATGTCAGCCAACTGGAGTCCAATCAATGAGATGAGATTTGGAGGTGTTGGTTACAGCTGCCCTGCCCTATAAAAACACACACCAGTTCTGGGTTTGCTTTTCACAAGAAGCATTGCCTGATGTGAATGATGCCTCGCACAAAAGAGCTCTCAGAAGACCTACGATTAAGAATTGTTGACTTGCATAAAGCTGGAAAGGGTTATAAAAGTATCTCCAAAAGCCTTGCTGTTTATCAGTCCACTGTAAGACAAATTGTCTATAAATGGAGAAAGTTGCTGCTACTCTCCCTAGGAGTGGCCATCCTGTAAAGATGACCGCAAGAGCACAGCGCAGACTGCTCAATGAGGTGAAGAAGAATCCTAGAGTGTCAGCTAAAGACTTAAGAAAGTTACTGGCAAATGCTAACATCCCTGTTAGCGAATCTACAATACGTGAAACACTAAACAAGAATGGATTTCATGGGAGGATACCACAGAGGAAGCCACTGCTGTCCAAACAAAACATTGCTGCACGTTTACAGTTTGCACAAGAGCACCTGTGGTTCCACAGCAGTAATGGCAAAATATTCTGTGGACAGATGAAACCAAAGTTGAGTTGTTTGGAAGAAACACACAACACTATGTGTGGCGAAAAAAAGGCGCAGCACACCAACATCAAAACCTCATCCCAACTGTGAAGTATGGTGGTGGGGGCATCATGATTTGGGGCTGCTTTGCTGCATCAGGGCCTGGACGGATTGCTATCATTGAAGGAAAAATGAATTCCCAAGTTTATCAAGACATTTTGCAGGAGAACTTAAGGCCATCTGTCTACCAGCTGAAGTTCAACAGAAGATGGGTGTTGCAACAGGACAATGACCCAAAGCATAGAAGTAAATCAACAACAGAATGGCTTAAACAGAAGAAAATACGCCTTCTGAAGTGGCCCAGTCAGAGTCCTGACCTCAAAAAAAAAGGGGGTTAGGATCAGCGCTTGGTGCTATACAGGGCGGTAAGTGAAGCTGCAACCTATGGGTATGAGGTTCCCTCCAACGTCCTCAAGAAAGAAATGGCAAAAAACACAATGATAGGTCGCGCTAAAAAAGTGAAAGGATAAATATAAATATAAATAAAATAGTAAATGATAGAAAAATTATAAAAATATATATATGTAGATTTACTCACATATAAAAAAGGCAAATAGAGAATAAAAGATAAAAATGTACATAAAAGTCCCAATATATGGTAAAATACTTGTAAGTTCCAATGTATGGTAAGATTCTAGTAAGTTCCAATAGAATAATGCAGGCTTGATGATGAAATCAATGGGAAGTTTTAGATCTTCTATAGCTGGGGGAATCTTGACTCAATGTCGAACATATAAGTAGAAGAAAAAGAGAACTCCAATAGTGTAATTCTGTGATGAAATTGATAAAATAAGAAGTAAGGGAGGTATTTCACTCACCTATCCAAGAGCGTGTACTCGCTCTAGTGTAGTTGGCATTCAGTGGCGTTGACCCCCCACTGTCGGGATATAGGTGTGAATGATTCCTCGGTATGAAAAGAGAGGTAGAAACCAAATATAGTGCTCACTGTATAATAACAAGTAAGTCAGAGAAGTAAAAAGGCGTACTTACATTTATCTGAGCAGGGTATACTGCTCAGTTTAATGGCGTAGGTGGTACAATCCCCACTTAGGATTCTTTGAACGATGGTCTGCTCCAAAGTAACGTGTAACCAGGTTAAAAAAT